AATTTAGAATAAAATCTTTGAAGAAAAACAAAACAAAACAAAACAAAGGTTTAACTAAAAGACATAAAACTTAAACATCACATAAAACAGAAATATTAACATCTCTGTAAAAATGATCATATTTAACAAACATTTGATAATTTTAATTTCTCTGAATCCATATTAGAATCAGGTCCCTTTATTTATCTATTTATTTAGTTCATTTCATATAAAAGACCTTTCACGGTATTGCCCTACTCAAAAATCTAGCCTTGTCGGATACAATCAGACTTGCACCTGAATTCTGTTCCCTACTAGCCTTTTGCCTCTTAAGCCAAACAGAAGGATTAATAGCACATGTTCCTACTTAGTCTCAACCTGATCAACTAAATGCAAAGAAACAAAAAGCAGAATGGAGCTTCTGGAAGCTAGGGGTGGGGGACAGAGACTGTAAGCAAAGGACACAAAGCCTCAACCGACAAGTGAACTAAATATAAGGGTTTCTATTGCACAACATGGTAAACATGACAAATAACTGAGTACTGTTCATCTAAATGTGATTAAGAGAGTAAATAAAAAATGTTCTTATCACAAAAATTGTTAAGTATTGAGGTGATAATAGGTTAATTAGCTTGATTTAATCATTTCATTTTGTATCAAAAAATCATAACATCACTTTCTAACCCACAAATTTATGTAACAATATTTAATAAGAAAATGCAAATTAAGATCATAGGAAACACTATTCTAATTTCAATAGAATACACTAGACTCAAAAAGACTACCAATATCAAGTGTTAAAGATTTTGGAAGAATTTCATCCTTATGTCCTGCTGTGAAAATATTCCGTGTACAGCCACTCAGGAAGCTGATAATTTATTAAAAAATTAAACATACAGGGGCTGGAGAGATGGGTCAGCAGTTAAGAACACCGACTGTTCTTGCAGAAGACTTGGGTTCGAATCCCAGCACCCACATGGCAGTTAATAACTGTCCTTAACTCTAGTTCCAGGGGATCCAACAGCCTCTTCTGTCCTCCATGGGCATTGCATGACACGGGTGCACTTACCTACATGTAGACATAACACTCATACACATAAAATAAAAATTTGTTTAATTTAAAAAGTTATAAACATACAATTACCTAGTAATTCTTCTTTACTTATCTATTCAATAGAAATGAAAGCTTATGTCTACAAAAGAAACAAAAGCGTTACTGAAAATAACCAAAAACTGGGGGCATCGCGAATGGATAGACAAAGGGAACTGTAGCCATGCAATGCAGTAGGACACTGGAATAAATAGCTGTACAGCATGAGTGGGTCTAAAGCATAATACTGAGTGAAAGACACCACACTCCGAAGACTAACCTCATATAAGTATGTTAATCTCTTAAAAGTTTTCTAGAAAAAGCAATACTATAGAATAAAGAAAATAGAAACTGTGTTGTGTGAGAGCGGGGGTTAAGGGATGGCCAGCTCAGGCAGAGAGGAGCTCCACCGAGGCGGTGGAAGTGTTTTCAAGCTGGCGTCTAACGAAACGTTATTGACCTGCACACTTCCAGTAGGTGAAATTGGTTATCTGTAAATTATACCACAATGAAACTGAACAGTTTTTAAAACTCAAAAGTAAGAAAAGCCTTTTATTCAGAGACCAGCTCATTTATGAAACCCAGGCTTCTGGGGCAGGTTTGCCCACACCTGCACAGGGCTCCGCAGGACCCTTTTTCTGTCATTGTTTCCATGGTGCTAACCAAGAGCACAGAACATTGTATCCTAGCTCTCTACCCGTCTTTCGTCTATTAAGAGGAGTACAGTGGGGTCAAGGTCCACATCACATTTATTTTTGTAAGGCCAACACTTAACAAATAAATGCTAAATTGTAATAAAAAGCCCAACTGAGGTGACTAAAGTTTCAAAAGGCAAAAATGTGTTGCTGATAATATGCTTTTTGCTTTCTCTGTAGCTTGTTTTGTTTACTCAGAGACTGGAAATTTGTTATAAAATTTGTATATTAAAATAAATGTATTTCTGCGGTTTTCATCATGAGGCTCTAAAAATCCTCCTCTGACTAAGGGTTGCTAGTCAACAAGATTCAAAAGAGTAAATGTCATATGATTCATTTATTTAAGAAAAAAATCTAGACAAGGCCAAACTACAGAAACAGAGAACTGGGTTCATGGGAGTCACCCACCAGTTGGGTAAGGACTAAGTCAGGAACTCCAAAGAAGGTGGAGCAGCCATCTTCCTTTCTGAGGAAGCTAAAAATTTAGAGACCACAACTATCTGTGAAGTGCACAGATTAATTCTGAAGAGGAAGTCTAAGGCTTTTAATCCCCCTCATAATGTCAAATGTGTAAAATTTTGTTCTCATCTGCAATCCTCAAAAATATGCTTGAATAATCAATTTTCTAAGCGCTGCCTTACAGCTTTCCCACTCGTGTGTCTCCAAACATCTCTAATCTGGTTAGTGTTTCTTACAGAGTGTGTGGAGCTGTAACATTAGCATAGACTAATCAGCAGGACTGTGTCCGGCCACAGCAATGGTGCAGTACTCGCTTCGGCGCTGTGGTGAAATCATGTGCATTTTGGTATTACAGGTGACTAGTGTCCCTTTTAGTATTATTTAGAAGTCAGAGTTTGGTATTTTTTGATATGTAATGTCTAGGGTTACTTAGTAGTGACTACTGAGTAATGCTGAGTAGAAAGCTTGTTTAGGATTGTGAAGGGGTTAATACGAAACAGAAAAAAATGAATTCCTAAAGAATCCCATATGATTTTTCAAAAAAGCACATTTGCAAATTCTTACTTTGTTCTTTTCCAAAGGCAGAGTTAAGACTATTTGCTTCATGTCTTTGAATGCTGAGTTCACCTTCATTTTGTGGTATACTTCCATTGATTCATATTATGATATCCCAAACCTTAAATACAGAGAGAGAGAGAGAGAGAGAGAGAGAGAGAGAGAGAGAGAGAGAGACTTTTTAAACAGGAGGCTGTGTCATCTCTCTTAAGACATTTGACCAGCCCTGGAAGAAAAGATCATAAGGTTTCGGAAGAAAATAGCAATGATAAAAATCTGTTTCCTTACCAACACAGTTGTGTGGAGACACTTACATTGAAATCGTACAACACACCAAAGTTGGCTGCAGATGCCTCTTCAGCTCTTGGGACTGTTTTCCTAGGTAAGCTGCCATATGGCAAACCCCAGAGGTACTGTATGGAGCAGAAAGAACAGTTAACAATTAGAAACAAAATCTGAGCCACACATGTGATCACAAATGGTTTTATTTACAGTATTCTGAATTTTTTCATAAGGATTCTGTGGGTCTCCACGTGGGGTCTAGCTTTCTGGGAATCCACTGAAATCCAGAATAAAGAAAAAAAGGAATCAGTAACGATCATGCATCCCGAGTTCACTGAATGAACAGCAAAGGCATTCAACCACAGTCCTCAGAAAGCTTGCTGAGAAGCCCCATACCCACCACCACCTCCACAGGTCTGATTTAGAAGAGAGATGGTCTTTGGGGACACTGTAGTGTTCATCAAAACTGTACTACCCACAGTTTCATATGAGAACATCCCACAGGACTGGAGTTGGAAGGCAAGTTCTCCTTCACGTAAAGGAAGTAAAGCCTCAAGAAAATCAATCATGTAATTAATTGGAGGGAGTCTATCAGAAGTGAACATTTGCTTCTTGATTGCAGTATCCCCAAGTCAGGGTTTCTGTTCTGAATCTGTGCTAGTAGCTAAGGAGAGTAATGGACACGGTAATGGAGAACAGCACTGGAGTGCAGTAGGCCAGAATAGGGCAGGAATAGGGTCACAGAAGTCTGGCTGAGAATGGGATAGTGCATCCTCCAGTCCCATGGCTTGCCAAACAGAAGCTGCTTCTTATGTGAGCTGAGCACATAAGAGTTTCCTCCACAAGGGCCTGAGGCAGAGGATGAGTGCAGTTTGTAGCCTGCAAGGGGAAACCAGATAATTCTCTCTGCGAAAAGGGCAGGATCTTCTACTTCAGCTCTTTAACTCCCTTTGGCTTCCCAGTGCTTTCTACAGATGCTGCTTGGCTCCAAAGTTGGGAGGCATGGAGAACAAAGGAG